GATGGAGAGATGGATAGATGGATAGACAGATAGATGGATATCGGATAGATGGATAGATGGATAGAGCACAGATAAATAGTTGGAGAGAGAGGGAGGGAGAGAGAGAGAGAGAGCCCCATGCCCGGGAGAGAGAGAGAGAGAGAGAGAGAGAGAGCGAGAGCAAGAGCATGCATGCATGCATGCCTGAGGAGTGGAGAAGGAGGCTTTGCTGCAGGACAGAGTCAGAATCTGCTTTCAGGCTGTTCTTTCACTGTGCTCCTGCACCTGCTCTAGTCCTGTCTTGTGGTGTTTTGACAGGGTTGTGGCCTTGTCAGGTTGAGAGTGGTTTCGTCGGGCTGCGTCTCTGCAATCTCATGTGAAACTCCTAGACTCCTAGACCCCCCTACTTCCGAGCCCTCAATTCGCCAGGACTCGGCTTGGCAGCTTCCACGCAGCCAGGCGACAGGGCGCTGGAGGTGGCCTTCCCGTACTCGCGGAGTTGGGCAAAAAGATCCAGCGCTTCTGGTTCGTTCTCAAAGATTGCAAGGGAGCTGGTATGGTGCCAGATGACAAGAAAGTAAGTGCAGGAACAACTTCACGTTTTGCAAGCCGCTCACCACACACAGGGCTCGGAGACCTATTTGAATCCAAATTCTCGGTCATCCTCATTTCCAGAGGACTCACCGCAAATGCTCTGCTATGCGGGCCCAAATGCAAAATCCCTAAACGTTCCTACACCCGCAATTCCTCACAGCCTTCGATTCCCCCTCCCTCTTCAGTCTTCTGGCAGGCCAGCAGAGTTGGTCCAGGTGCTTTGGGCTTTAGCCGCCCTCGGCGTGGAGTCCCCACCCGCCGCCGAAGCGCTTCGACGCCGGGGCTGGGAGGCTGCGAAGAGCAGGGGGTAGGTTTGAGCCACAGCAAGCGACATGGAGCGCACTGTCGCGCCTCCTTTGTTCTTCCCCAGTGCATTTCGAGTTCGGCATGAGGGATTACGGCTGGGGTGTTGAAAGTGGGAAGTGAAATGCAGCGTGGGATGTAAAGATGGGAGGGGCGGGTTGGTGTGGCGATGCTCAGTGCAGCCCGAACAACGACCGACCAAGCCACGGCCAAGGACTGGTAGCAAATAACCATCATCGCGGAATCCACACAAAGCACGTTTTTTTTTGTTTTCTTGTTGGCATACTGTTGTAGGTCTCACGGAGTAGCGTGCAAAATGTCCAAGTCAAAGTCAGCTTGTGAAGCAGATCAAGCTGAAGTGGGCTAATCACAGGCTAATCCAAGTTTTGCCTGGAGTTGAAGCCTCCCTGGGTTCTTGTTGAAGGAGCTGACTTGGTGTTACCACCATACAGACACAGAGCAAGACATAGCCTCCCTTATTATGATACCTTCCATGAACTTCGTCACAAGGAGCTGGATCGTCAAGTACAGGGGTCGAAACCCACCCACCCAAAGCGAGCCAGAGTCAGGCACCACCAGAAATCCTGAGAACAGAACGAACTGAGCAAAGCAAGGAGGCGTTCAATACAAAGTGACTGCTTACTAATCCTCCGCTTCCCCTTTCGGCACCCGAAACCCTGTGAACCCCCCCTGCTGCTCCAAGAGCCATCGCTTTTCAATACGACCCTTGGAAGGAGCGGAAGGCACCTGCAAGGATCCATAACTTAAACCCCAAGTCCTGGTGTCCCAGAACCTCCAAGCTAGGTCTTGATTAGACCCCTGATTAATAGACACTCCTTCTTGAAGGGCCTTACCAATTATTCGGATCCTGGTGTGTCATCACTTGTCAGGTAGCAGGGTCTTTCAATCAGGAGTCCATTCGAACCGGATTGTTGCTGATCTCTGGTGCCTATTAAAACCCCTGTGCAACATCCCTGGACCCTTAACCCTAAACCCAAAATCCCTGGACCCTAAACCCTAAGCCCTAAACCCAAAATCCCCTAACCAGCAGACGGAAAAAGGTGCTCAAAAAAAAAAACCCAAAATCCCTGGACCCACGAAGCTCTGAGACCCTGTCGGCACGCGACCTCTCCTTAGTGGCCTGGAGCTGCTCGGAGCCAATGCCATTTTCATGTCAGAGCGTGCTCTGAAGCAGGGGTTATGGGGCGTTGGGGCTTTGAGGGTTCAGGGGTTGATTTGTGGTGCTTTTTTTGAGGTTTGGCTCGGCGTCAGGGACGGGGAGCATTGGGCAGGGATTCGAAGGATTTCGCAGGTAGAGGCCCCACAGGCCGCAGGCCCAAATTACAAGCCCTCGCTACCGTGGTCTTCTTGGATCACCCTTGTCTGAGCACTCGTTTCGAGGATTGCAGGATTCCTTCAAGTCCAGTTTAGGGGAAGGGCCCTTTCTGGGAGAAGCGTAGCTTGAAAGGCTTTGCTGCCACGAGCATGATGGACCCAAGAGTGGCAGCCTGAGACGAAACGGGATTCAGGGTTTTCGCGTTCGGGGATGGCAGGTTCGGTAGTGGTTTCTCTCTAAATCAAGATCTCTGTCTGTGGCTCCTTAGAAAATGAGTGTGTCGTGCATGATACACTGGTAGATGATAGAGGATCGCAGAAGGAGGACACTAGAGCAAGGGTACACGATCGCTGATAGTTGTTTAATGATAGGCAGTATGTAATCGGTGGTACTTGTAAGTGGTTTGTGACATGTCCTCGGTGATCAACTGTGGATGATAGATGTATTGTGGTTCTTACGGTGGCTGTTCGTATCTTGATTATTGCTACCATTGCTGCTGCTGCTGCTGCTGCTGCTGCCTGAGTGTTTCGTGGTTGCCGGTCTTCAGCATCTTGGAAAGTAGTAGAACATGGGATGAGCTGAGAGCACAAATTTAAGCGGTCCGACGCCAAGGACTTGGAAGCGATTGCGAAGGCTGCTACTCCAAAGATACAAGACTTCGACGCTCAAGGTACGTGCACCGGGTTGGTCTTTTCCAAGGTTTCAAAGAGGGCTTGCAGGTTTTCCACAACGGGTGTTGTCAGGCTTTTGTACCTCCAACATTTGCTGGTCCAGCTCTCGAGAGAATGCGCTTGGGCCCTTGGGGTAGTGGTCGTTTGCAATCCTTATCTTCGGGCGGATCACAGTGCGCATCTCTGACCCAAAACTCATGTGTTTTTTCAATGATGGTTGTGCAGATGCAGCAGCTCGGCTTTCGAATGGACCGCCTTCTGGTGGGTGATCTTCGGCTGAGAGCTAGCGCCAACTCTGTCGCGAGATTCTGCCTTCTGCATGTTCTGCAGATCAGCCAGAACAAACAGAAAGTCGAACCTCTTCCGCTCAAGTCGTCGCCAGGTCTCTCCAACCTTTGTTGGGCCCTGGGATGTGCCAAAGTTGCTGACCGGGCTCTTTTCACGGAAGTGGGGAATACAGTGCAGCTTGGAGGCACGAGGCCGGGTATGGGAAGAGCTCGGGGTTTCTCAACATCAGCTAAGAATTCCGAATGTTACAGAAGTGCCCTTGAGAACTGTTCATGCACTTTTTTTGTGGGAGAGAGACCGTGACGGAGGCCGCGCGGCCTACTCTGCGCAACAGATGGCTAACATCTGCTGGTCGAGCCTTGCCTGGTGAAGCAGGTTTGGCCGTTCCCTCCTTTCTTCGGCACCGCTGCGACGGCTGCCTGTCCGGACTACTGCCCGAAGCTGCCCGCTGAGGTTCGCCACCCAGGCCTTCCTCCACCGCCCACTCTTTCAAGAGGCGGCGAGCTTCGCCCACGCGCGCCTCGACTTCGACCGATCCCGATCTAAGCGGGTTTAGAAGGGGTGTTCCACGGTTCACACTTATCGCCTATAGTCTCCCGTCTCCCGACACCGTACAACAACAGTGGCGTTCCAGTAGGCCCAAAGCTTAAAAGCTTCTTGGGTTATTTTGGAGGAGCCCGGAGAGCTTCCGGTCGGAGGAGCTCTCGGCCCTTGCCGGGGCCCCCGGTTTCTCTAGGCCTCGGCTCAGGATCCCCCCCCCAGCAACCTAAGCATTAAGGCTCCCCCCCATGTTAGGGCGTTTGGGCCTTGGGGGTTTTTAGGCGGAGAGGTTTCTTGGAGGGCGTTTGGTCCTTGTCGACCTGAGCACTTCCAGGGCCAAGGCAGTATCCTTGAAGCCGAGAAGATGTCGTTGCGTTCTTCCTTTGAGTCTCATGGCACTCCGAACTTGGCATAGAAAGCAGGTTCCAGGTTTTGGTGGAACACGCTGAGCCTGGGCGCAAACCCGGAAGCTTATGCCCAGGCCCCAAGCCTGATAGTTTCCAAGCTCCATGCGCCCAGCTCTCTTCCTCCCCGAAATCCTCATCCCCCATCCTGTGAGTGCACCCCCCAAAGCGAGGTTTGGTCCATGGCGACGCTGGCTTTGCCTTGGGAAGGGCTGGCAAAGGTTGTGCAGAAGGTCGGGGAACCCGGGAGTCTGGGCATTCTGGGTCGCCTGCCTACAGTCAGTCCCCCAAGACTGCAATCCGCAAACCGCAAATCCTCGATGTTGAGCCGTAAATGCAAAAATCAGCTTCCCTCGCAGACTCTGGCAAGGCCCTGCCCAGCGTGTCGGCCAGGGAGGGTGCGAACCTTGCAGCTTCCCCAGCTAGTTGGGGTCAGAGGAGATTCGGAAGGCTCGGAAGACCGCCGTAGTTCCCAAGATTCGATATTCAATATCACAGACAACGTCAACTAGAGCATACTGGAACGACTGGCCATCAGTCAGTTCTGAGGCCCCCATGTTCGCAGACACCGCCCACCAGCCTTGGCCAAGCGAGTGGGAGGTCAGAAAGGTTGGAGGGGTGCAGCGCTCTCGCCAGAGGCCTGGGCTTGTGCAGTTCTCGGAGAGCACCGCGAGGCAGAGTCCTGGTAGGGATAACGTGCTTGGAATGACGGCGGGGGATTTGGGGATGTAGGGATCATGGCGGATTTTGGAGGGCCTTAGCCACCTTCGGCGGACCTGGACCGGACAGCTGAAGCCACAAGTCGTGAACTGCAGGATAATATATAATTTAATAATAGTAAAAATCGTACTAATGATAATAAACCTCTATATAATAAAGATGGCAGGATGTGCTCCGGAAGACGGCCAACCTGCTGCAGGCACGGTTTGTGGGCTTCTGTGAGGCATCGGGTCTCTGTGGATTTGCGTGTAGGGGAAAAGAGCTTCGGGTTTTCAGGCAGAACCTGGGTTTTGGCTGTGGGGCCGGAAAAGACAGCGTTGTTTTCGGGCTAAGGTATCTGGGAAAGTAACCTGCTTCAAGAACTTGCGATGGTTCTCACGAATGAATCATGCTAACAGGAAATGATTTCAGATAGCTTCATGACAGGAAGGGAAAGATCGATGCATTCCAAGGCCGACGGCGAGTCGGCGCAGGAACTGCATCTGGGGCAGTGGCTCCTCGTCATGCACTCGTCCGATGACAGCTAATTAGCCGTCCTGGGTTCAGAACTCTCAGAGGGGTCCTCGTGGCTTGTCGACACGCTTGCCTGCAGTTGGCTTGCGCAGGTATCTGGCCTACCTGGCCTACACTCTAGAGACCCCACCGGGTGAAGGCCTGCAGCGGATGAAGTCAGGATCGGAGTTGCTATTGTGATGGTGCAGTGGAGCCCGAAGCCGCAGAACCTCCATGCCTCAAACGACACCCCTTACCTTACACACCCTAAGCCTGAATCCTTGGCTCCGAAGCCTCCAACTTCTAGGAGCCCTGCTGTTTCAACCCTGACTCCCAAGAATGAAAAGCTTTTGACCTACACCTGTATGCAACCCAGCCCGGGAATATTGAACCAGAGTACTACGCCAGCATATATGACACGGTATTTCTGGATAGGCGCCCTTAGCTAGACGAAGATATGCTTTGGGGTGTATCGCAGCGAAACAAGTGGATGAATCGGGAAAACGAGAGCATTTATTAGTTCATGTAAATGCACATGAACATCCACAATGGAACATGTTGTGAAACTCTGCACGCAAGAAAACTGGTACACATGTATGTACACTGGCAGGTCAGGAGCGATGAATGCACAGATCGCTGGTAGACAGATAAGTAGATATCAAGGCAGCTGCTAGCTGGCAAGCTCGCTCCATCGATCGATCAACAGAAAGATCGGTAGATAGGCAGGTAGGTAGATGCACACACACACACACACTCACGCATTCAGACAGCTCGCCCTGTCTCTCGCTCGCTCTCTCTCTCTCTCTCTCTCACTCGTCCTCTCTATCGTTGTGTCCGTCTCTTCCTTGCTGTATTTATGTAATTGTATGTATGCATATGTATGTGTGTATCTATGCATATATGTGTGCATTCATACACACATACATACATAC